AAACTTATCGAAGACTGAGAGGTGGCCAGCGGCTTTGCTCTCAACCTAAAAAGTGCAGAGCAGTGCAACTACGCACCCGTAGACTGCAGAGTACAGGTTACAACCTATGCAACGAAAGCTTGTCCTGCAGGACATCGAAGAATGTCTTAGGTCTAGGTCTAACAGCGAAATGCACGCCAGTATGAATTACACGGAAGATGTAGAGAGGACTTATGTGGTCATGCGATTATCGCACAGACACACGCGATTTTTCAGGGTGTACGAAACATTAGTCAGACAACAACTTGAAGAGCAAAATGTCATTGCTGCTCCACTGCTAATGAGAGAAGCCAATCTTTTGGAAAGACTCCAAGGATGGTTAACTAAAGGTATAAATAACCTCCAAAATAAAGCACGTCGCGAACAGCTGAAAAACTACCTCTTTTCACTCCTTGTTAACGCCGAGTCAGGGATGACCTAATCATTGTTTATAAGATTACAATGACCGGAATAACCCAAGGACGGGTATTCTACCAATAAATACGTGTGGGCTTTCTACAAATGACAGCTCACCAGAGAGCAAAGACTCGCGTGTTTTCCCATTTTTCCACTCTACTGTGCCGCCCCTTGAACTCCCTACCGGTGGACATGGCTCCTCTATTGTCTGTAGAAGGCTTTAGGCGGAGGCTGGACAATCATGAGGCGAAACAAGGACTCCACCCGAACGGCCTACCCCCTTAATACTCAGACAGTATTACTGGGCAAATATCTACTATATATTCTCTATTGTCTTTCTATTCTGACTACTCCATCCATTGATTCTCCCGTAGTATAACACATATGTTTTTCATTTTCGAATTTCCCTATCTATTCGTTTATACATTTTCCACTTCTCTTTCCACGTCCACATAGTCTGCGCTAATTATGTCGCAAAAGACTACTCATGAAGTTGGGAAGTCCTAGTATCAAAGGCAGCTTAGTAAGCTGGATTAGGGAATTCCTCATAGATAGGAGGCGGAAGTCTAGAGTCAACTCGAAACAAGAAGCGGTACTCTGACTTCCATTTATTTTGTTACCAATGAGTTGTCCGTGCTCACAGATCCACCTATAATGCTATACGCAGATGATCATAACATCTGGAGAGAGCTGTAGGGAGACGGTGATATGCTCACATTTCAAGAGGACCTCAACAGATTATCAGAGTGGTCCGGAGAATATATGCCCCCGATCGATGTAGTGAAATGCGCACCCGGGCGCATCGGACACGCAAAAATAAGCTACCACGAACTAGGGGGAAAAACACTTCTATCAGTTCAAACTGATTTGGATTTAGGTGTCACAGTATGTTACGATTTAAAAACTTCAGCAGACTGCCGCGTGGTGGCTGCACAAAGTTTCATATCCTCATAGGGAGTTTGCAGAGCCTTTACTACAATCACCACAGACAGGTTCACTTCCTTATAAATATATCTGGTGGGGCCAAGACCAGAAAACTGTATCCAGGCAGCCAGTCCTTGTCTAAAAGGGGACTCACACATTCTAGAAAGGGTTGAAAGGAAGGCGACACGTATGGTTCACGGCATAGCTAACTTATCGTACGAGGAAAGACTAGACAGTTTAAATCTCTTCTCACTGTCATACCGTAGGCAGAGAGAAGATTTAATCACAATGCTTCAAATTTTAAATAATGACTATGGACCTGACCTATTCTCTCTTTTCCTTCCCACCAGGTCGGAACACCTTAGAGGACATAGCAGGAGAGTTCAAAAGCCAAGGAGAAATCATATTGCTGTTGAGTACTGGTTCTCACATCGAGTCATAAACTCTTGGAACCGACTCCCAGAAGAAGTGGTGTCTGCTACCTCAACTGATTCGTTCAAGAAGGGTTTGGAAAACCACATAAATCTACTAGAAGACGATTAACATAGATTGCAAGCCTTCTATCTTCATCCAATAAATCTGAAATCTCAATCTGAAATTAGAGAGGGATATATGAGTGGTACGTTACTGGCCGACACTCAACAGTTAGTGTGGCTTTACGTTTTGTTCGTTATTAAATTTCTATTCACTATCTTCTAACTCCATGAGAATAAAGTTCGCATTTCACAAAATTGTACGTTCTGGTTAAGATGTGAGCCATATTTTATGTGGGATTCTCTCGATACATTCTGGGGAATTTTTCATATTATTAGGATAGAAGGCTCTTGTTGCCTATGTTAGTCTTTGCGATATAGATTTTTGTAGAGATTTAGTTTCTCTTTGAAGGCGTTCACTGATGCAGTTGTGGCGACTGAATCAGGTAGGGAGATCCAGTCGTTGACCTATCTGTGAGAGAATCTAAATTCTGCACGTATTTTATTCTACCTCGGTTTGAGTACCTTTTTGTCGTGACCTCTTAAGTGTATCCTAGAGAAAGAGAAGAGGTCTGGAAAGTCAATCCATAAACCACTCTTCAATATACGGTAAGCCAAAGTTAAGTCGCCTCTCCTTCAGTATGATTATGGGAAGAGATTTGAATGCTCCATTCTCTTATCATAAGGAAGGTGTGAGTTACCACTAACCAGTTTGGTTCCTACCCCCTGTACTCCTTCCAGGATACGCGCCTCCTTTTTGGAGAATGGACTCACTGCTTGTATGCAGTATTCTAGATGAGGTCTGACACGTGGAATTGAGTACTTGGAACACCCTCGTCTAATCGTTTGAAAGTCCTTCAAAGTGCCCATAGCATTCGAAAAGCCTTAGCTGCGGCTCGATTACAATTTTCCATCGTTTTTAAGTCATGGATTACAATAGTTCCTAAATCCTTTTACCCCTTAACATTTGACAGAAGAGTACGGCGTGTAAGACCTCAGACCTAGGTGCATTACTGCGTCTTTCTTGGAATTAATTCCCAGACTCCAGAGTTTAACCCATTCAGCTAATTTGTCTAGATCGGTTTGTAATACCAACTTATCATCGGTACTTTTTACGGTTTTCCATATCTTAACATTGTCTGCAAATAATAAAGAAGATGAGGTAAGAATTTTCGGCAGTTCATTTACGTATAATAGGAATACCATGTGGCCAAGTACAATTCACTGAAGTACTCCACTTAGTACTGCTTTCCGCCCTGGAAGTACACCATTAACCCTTACTTTCTGCCTTTTATCCATCAGGTAGTCGCTAAACCACTCACATAGGCGTTAGTCTAATCCAAAACGTTTAAGTTTACGAAGAAGACCTAAATGGGATACCTTATCGAATGCTTTACTGAGATCGATAAAGACAACGTTCAGTAGATGGTTCCTGTCCCTGGTTTCCACCCAATCTTCCCTAGCTAACAGTAAGTTTGTCAAGCAGGATCGTCCTGGTCGGAATCGATGCTGTTCTACTGACAGTAAGCCATGAGTGTTTCTAGCACCTTTGCTATAATGCGGGTCAACCTTACAGGCGGGTAATTGGATACTAACTGCCTGACGATTGTTGTTATAGTGGGTGTTCCTGTAAGGTCATGTGGTTAGTCGTTCGTTACACATTGGTTTAGCCCATTATTGGTATGCTGTAGCTAAATAGGCTGCTTAGCGTTAACGTGAGCATTTGTGGATTGTGCAAGTGCTAACCTAAGGAATTGGGAGTTACTAAAACCATAGAATTTATGAAAGATAAGATGACGAAAGGATTCGTTTGCAAACATATCGTGAATTTTTATCCTCTTTGATATAATCAAATGCTCTGTATTTAGCCACAAAATGGTGTGGGTTTTTCTCGGATATAATTTGCATAGGCATTTAAATGTAGTTACTCCGTTACTTCAGGGCATTGCGTAATACCTTTTTTGGTGCGTTTTTCGTTTAGTACTTCATTATGACAGCACCCAAATTAAGTTTTACGCTGTTATATGTAGCTATCACTGTTCCAATTAGGTTGTGGTGAATGCACCGTTTCAAGGTCGTTGTACACATTTGTTTTTTTGCAAACCGAGCAGTTTTTACTGCAAACAGTTGATTTCTTAATTGTTCACAATTGATGTGCTCATCTACATCTTTACTAAATATGCGGTGACATACTTTCTTATTGTGCTGTTTAGTTTTCTAAGTGAGAATTGGACAGCTGCACATGCTTTACATAGGGTAGCTTAAGATCTTAAATACGAAAGCTGTTCAGCGTGTGCGTTAGAGCGGAAATAATGTAAGTAATGCTGAAACAACAGACTTTGGATGGTCGTCTCACATTTCAGCATTTTTCTACATTACTGTAAGCTTAATTAATTTCTTTGTTTCTATCTCTGTTCGCTACTGTCTGATCTTGAAATTGTTTAATGCGTCACAATGCCTTACCCTGAGGTCACATTTGGTTCTGTTTTTGCATGACAGCGAATAATCTATGCACAACAGCAAATAGTTCACAGTTATAACCCATATACCCTAGGACCTCTTGAATAAATCGATTGCACTGAAAAACAACGAGAAATCTGAGTGCCTCTAGAAGATCGCGTTGCTGTTATTGTTCGATGCAGGTACAGGTCAATACAACAGACCAAGTATGTGCTCTCAACATAGTAGTTGCCAGTTCGCCTTTTCTATCCAGACTCACGACAATTTTCGAAGGTATATTTCAGTAGAATTAATATGTTCAGTACTGGTCTCTTGTGGTTCAATTCTCATGCATCACAGTCTCCATAATACCATCCTTGGGTACTTAACGATGCGGTTAATAATAGTCTATGTTACGTGTACGTATGATTTCGCCCGCCTAACCAAACCGAATCCGTAGTTGTTACAGCCTGTATAGACTGAATGCCATCTTAAAAACATTCCAATTTTGTCCACTTCCTTTCAGCGGTTTGGCTTATCATGATAACAGTGTTTAAGCAGGCCATATTAAAATTAGCATAACCGTTTAGTTCGTCATTTGCGAAAAGATTTAGATTACAACTAACGAGGATTATGTAGTTCTAAACCCTATTGTTTTTGGCTTTTAGGATGTGTGTATAACTGATTCTGGTGAAGAACTCCTCTACTGTATAACTACATAACTTTAAAATGTTGCCGATTTCACGAATACGCACACAATCACTTTTCATCCAGTTGCAGCGCTGTACACCTCGCCTTAATCAACCGCTGTTAAACTATACCAACACAATTTCACTTAAGAAGTACTCATTTAACTCTCGGAAATGTGCCTGCAACTTAAGAACAATCCAGAACAGGCAGAATTTCTGTTCGAACAGTTCAACTGATGCCAAATGCGTACTGCCAGCTGTAAAGCCATCAGATACTAGTGAATCATCAAATCAAGCTGATGCAACAGAAGGGAAAATGTACATAGAATTCACTTGTAAGGTAATAAATTATTTCAGTTTAATTTTGTAAAACCTCAAATCTTTCTAACTACATTAGAAATGTTCCACTCGATCGAGCAAATATTTTTCAAAATTGGCATATGAAAAGGGTGTTGTTATAATTCGCTGTGATGGATGTCAAAGTCTCCATTTGATTGCTGATAATCTTGGATGGATCAAAGACAAACATTGGTTTGTTTTCTTATTTCACGAACTTTCTTTTCTAATTGTTCATTAAAGGAAACTGGAAGATTTTGTCAAGGTTAACAAGAAATCTATATGCGTCGCATGAAAGAGCGAGAATCGATTGGTGAAGAGTTATGAATAAGTTCAATCAACCTCACTTGCGGTTCATCATGTACTGTAAGTTCCACTTCCGGTTTATTTCTACGTTATCGCTATCTCCCTATTTTGACATCTTAGTGCATGATGGTGTAATACACTACCAAAGTTTCACTTTCAAGTTAACTTGTTCATATTCTGGCCTGATCCAAGCTTTGACTTATCCACTAGTTTATGCATCCAGACCCTGCCACATGTATGAATAGCAAAATTATGTACCTAGCCCTTAAGTCGTAAAAATGACTTGTCTATTATCAAATGTCGCATTTCTGTTAACTATGAGTAACAATTACACTTTATGCAAAGGAACTATTATACCAATGTAATATTTTTATATCTCAGGAAGAGATAAATTCCAGAAACAAGTCACACGTGCTTTAACTTAAGCTATGTCATCAGTATTAGATGTCAAGATTAAGAATTGTACAGACAAATTATAATCGACAACTTTGCGCATATATACACATGATTGCTTAGCTGTTATGAGTCCTTTCCTCACGTTTGTTGTCGTATTAGGATAGATGAAGCACATTCTCTCAAACGACTACGTATTCATTTGCTCTGATAGGAACGTTCTATTAACTGCTTTTGAATCATGAAAACAGAGTTTCCACAAAAGTGAATCGCAAATGTGGAGATGGTGGATAAGTAGCGATCGTCAAAGGGATTTAGATAATAGTTATGCTAGGTAGACAGTTTACAGGAATGAATAACATGTATATCTTAAGAAGCAGTGGCAATACGGCTCCAAATACTCCCCCTCTAGACCCTTATCAATTAGATCTCAGGTCTTAAAATAACCACTTTCTTTGATTTGAGCGTTTTGTCATTGTACCGTATCAATGTACCAGTTTTTGGCTATAGAATCACTGAAGATTGCAGTACACAAACTTAGGGCGGTAATCTTTATGGTCTTTTATAAGTAGATGTAGTGTACTTCACTGTTCTCATGATGTACTAGTTATGCTATTAATAGATAGAATAATAAATCTCTTCTCACTAACATTTATTTTACTCGTTATTAAGTACAGAAATTGAAGGACATGTCTCACATTTCGATTTTGTTTGTTTCTATTCATCAGCTAATTGTGCGTGCAATCTGTGAAAAAAACCTGCTCTTTATATGACTTGATCGCCAAATCGCTAATTTTAGGGGAGCGAATTGTGAAATCACAACTAATAAAATCTCCAGTTCATAAAAGAAGCCTTACAGAACTAGAATACAATGTGAAGCGTTTTCATTACTGCATAAATACGATTTACAAAAAATACTTTGGTGCATAGAATATTAACTTTTACACTTCAGACTAAACGCCAGTTTCCACTAATTACCGTTTTTTCATTACAGAAAAGCATTATTCAGTCAAAATCGTGAAATCGCTTCCTTCACCAGTGTGCCTACATCTGATATCTTTGTTTTACCATGTTTGTACGAAAGAGTATTAAATAAACTGTTAATAAAGTTTCTGAAAAAGTATCCAACTATGCTTTTGTTTTATCGATAATGTAAATAAATGTGTAAAACAAACTAACAGATGACATGGAATCCTTGTTAAATTGCTTAGATTTGATCAATAGGACTAGTAAGGCTGGCATTCCAGAATGCACACAGTTGGAGTTAGACCACTAAGTCTTTGTTTTGGTAGCAAACTATGTGCTTCATAGATCTGTTTAACCAACTTCCAGCCGGCCAAACACAAATTCAAACCATCTAAACGTAGTCTTTAACTAATTGCTGAGAAGCCTAAGTCCGCTTGTAGTCTCTGAGTGGAGCCATACAATAACCAACACATGATCGTCTGAGGGTCAACTTCATTATCAAGTATCACACACTTGTCAGTGGTATACATTTAAATCCTGTAACAAGGTAGGAAAGACCATATACGCAGCATCAAACGATAACGGATTGTCTGAAATTACCTTCATTACACTGGTATTATACATGTAGGGTAAAAAACGTAGATTAGTTGAGACAATTAACGACAAAACAACGAGCTACATTGAAGTTGTAAAGGCATAAGAATTCCAGTATTCGAAGAAATTCTTCTTGAAGTGAAATAAATGGAAGGAACGTAACATTCAGCTCTGATTGACAGGAGGAAAATTATTAACCGATTTGCATTCAAGAGCAATGTAGTACCTCGATAATAAATATGAGGATCAAGCTTTTATTAGTATACATTTTATGACTTAACTTGAGTGCGCAAACCAAAATTGATGATCACTAAACCAATGAAAAGTGAATAAATAAACTGCTTATGTCACAAACTATATGGATTTTTAAGTAAATTAAAAGGATTAATAGGTTCCCTAAACACAATCCGACTAAGTTTTTAGGAGAATCAAGCATTGAACCAGTGAGATCACTAGACACCTCGTGGACGCAGGGACATTTCGTTCCTTTGTCGAAGTCCTAGCAGTATTAAATGTCCAGAAAATGTTGAAATTACTACATTTCTTTTACGGGTGGATCTGTCTATATGGAAAAAGAATGGGATCGATCCCTCACTATCTACGTAAATTTGGTTAACTACACAACTTATCTTGTTACATTATTTTAAAAACACTGAATTAAGTAATAATGTTACTCGACAATCACACATGTGCTAAAGCGTTCAGCGATGAGCCACATTACTAATATAAAGCCTGAAGGCACCACCCATTTACTCAAACGTGGGGCGGGGTTCGAATTCGCCACCCGCTAGTCCGAAAATGAGTGTGTAGACCAATGAACCACAGAGTTCCTAACCAACTGTTTACTTGTCATCTAACTCTATAATTCAGTGACATCTGTTTATTTGTTAATTAAAGTACATCACGTTGAATACTTTTAGTCGAAGTCGTTAATCTCGTGCCTGTCATCAATGTATGTATATAGCCAATACGGGAGTATAAAATGATAAAAAATAGAAGTGTATCAAAAATAACTATTTTTTAAGTACCATAAAAGATATGATAAGGATAGTATATACATAATTCACTGGGGAGATGCAACCTTGTTTTTCCGTTTAGACTTAGGACCCCAATGTTTTTCAGGATTTACTTGATATCTGTAAAGGGAAATAAAATGATATAAGTACCAATATTCAATGGAAGTTAAGTAGTTTTTATGCTAATAAAAATGTTTGGACAATGCAATAACAACTCATGGTAAGAGATAAAATGGATTCCATCAGTATCTTGTCAGCTGCATACAACCTAAAAAAGAACTATTTAATTTCAACATGCGTTGCTATTGCTTTGCTCAAAGTCAACAGAGATGATTGGTACTTGAAATAAGTGTTTTAGATGATGGAATAAGCGAAAAAGTATGTATTGAGGTAGACTATTGACTTTTCAGTTAACCATTCGGAAAGTCAGCTTTTGTTTTATCTGCTCTCAACAGATCCCTAGCACTTCTGTACCAATATCTCATTTCTTTTGCAGTTTGAACAGCCTTGTCAACCTCAAAAACAGTGCGGGCATGTTATATCATTCATGCTTATTTTTGTTTTCATCGAAATAACATGTCGACTGACTAGCTTTCCGAAGATTTTAACCAACCGGCGATGTTCCACTTCCACGACTGTGGCAGCAAATAATTTCTTGTTATTTTCCTATGCTTTGCGGTTCTCGTAACGGTTGGGTTGATTTTCTGGAACACGGTCGGTAGCTCCAAGCCCAGCCTCCCCTCTCTTTCCCCGATTAGAACTGGTTGGGAAACTAAGCGACATTAACCAATATGATAATCCAAAATTTTGCAACCAGCGAGTATGCTCTAATGGTACTGTCATGATCTCAGATGCTTCACTACACCTGACCTTTAGGACAAATAAAAATTCGTCCTGAGTAAACGCGCGATGAGAATGCCTAAAATGTCGTTGAAGCAATGAGTCAGGTAGGGAGATGCAGACTCCCGGGTTGGGGCCCTCGGGACTCTAGGAATCAATGGCTGGAGACAATAGGTGACATGGCTCAAAATCGTTGTCAATGGCGCAGATGTATTCAATCTCTGTAATCTTTCATATTCCTTTCTACCATTACCCATTCTGTTTCACTCTTATATTTGTCAAACTCTATTAATTCTCTTCACTCATCTTCTTGTCTACCTCTGTGTGCTATTTGGAAGGTGGCAACTCGAACTGCTGCACTTCGGTGCCAAGTTCTATGTTGAATCCAGACAGACAGACAGAAGCAATTCATTATCATTCGCTTTGTCGAATAACTGTTATGTAAATGTCTCTAGTGACCGTATAATGAAACAACTTACTGACATTGATGCATACTTACATTCCAGTCTGCGTTGCTATCATTACAAAAATTAGGTATGAGTAGTTCTACCTTGAACTTCCTGCACTCACTTAAGCAGTCTGCTCTTAGCTGATGGACCCAGGGTTCGATTCCCACTCCACTTAATTCGGCTTACGCGTATGGGTGGTATCAGAAGCTTTCAAGCAGTATATGTGGACCATAATCAGTCTTGATAAACTGATATATATATATATATATATATATATATATATACTTACCTCAGTAGTCCATCATTTCGTGAAGGTGGATTGGCCAGAGGATGGCAGGCGAAAGAAACTGATGGATTAATTGGCCTGGTCAATAGGCTGGAGCGAACTGTCTTGCGATCTTCACCACTATTTGGCTCAGTGCTTGTGTCTTCATCTTCTGCGTTATCTTTACAACTACGTTTACGTCTCGCACGTCTCTTATCTCGAATACTAGTTTTTTCTAATGTTTCAACTACTTCTTTAGAATGTTCTTCACTATCTGAATTCTTTAGTTCACGGAGTTTTTCGTAGTGAACTCGAAAACAATCAAGTACAAACGAATGTGGTGCATCAGTTTTTAAAGAATTCTTATCAGCATGCGAACAGGATACACGATAATTGGCATTGAGAAAACAAGAGCTGCCCGTTTGCAAAACAAAAATTATAGTAAGACACCATTTAAAATTATATAAAATATAGGATAAAACTGTACTGGTACATAATATGAAACTCTGAAACATATTTCTAACTCAGCAACTATATATTTTTTCCAGTAATTTATCCCCAATAGGTTATCGATGGTCTAATGGATAACATGTATATTAGCCGTAATAGTGGAACATCCGCATAAATAACAAGGTGTCTATGTATACATTTAAGTTTCGGCTATTGTGCAGCTGTAAATGCATAATACTAACCAGGTGCAAATACAAGGAATGGGATGCGTCTATTACGAATGCCCCAACAAAATATCTGAAAGTCAAATGCCTAGTATAATGAACTACATTTCCTAATATGAAAGTGGATGCATACAAGTTTATAAGTATTTACATATTCAAGCTTTAGTCTTGAATACATCATGAAATTTTGAATCTGGTATAAGTATCAAAATCTAACTTCTACTATTATTTCAAAATGAGATTTTAAGGTTTCTTTTTTTTTATAACTGACTAACTCATCTGTGAAGAAATGAGTGGATTCCAAGCAAATTGTACTTAATTATTCTCGTGGCTTTACCAAATACATGGTTTGGCAACTTTGCCTTTCGACATCAAAAGACAGTCGTCAACTCGTAACGGAATGAAAATATCCCTTTTCAACAATACTTCCCTTTAAAGAGGTGGAAGAAGTACAGTCGAACGTAAAGTAATGCCTTCAATTATCAGCAAAATATATCGGAAAATAAAAAGTGAAAGAAAGAACCAAGCACACAATAGAAGCAATAGTGGCGAGCTAATCGCCAATGATGATCAGACTATAAGAAGTTAAAGATATGATAAAGTAAGAATTTGAATATACTTCTTCGACATAGAGAGTTTTGACTGTAAGTATATCTTTTATCTTTTCCCAACCAAATCCTATTTCAGCTGTCATTGCTTGTCGAGGAGAGATGTGGCTCAGTATTCATAAAATAAGTCTTAGGCATGGAAATTTCTGTAGCTTCACAATCTCATATAGTGACTTACCCACCTTACTTACCATTCAACACCTCAATTCATCATTACTGATCATATTATTCCATTATTACTTATTTCTCTAACACCAAACTGTACATTATGGGCACCAAGAGGTGTACCGCACAAAATAATAACATTAAAGTATGAGGGAAAATGGTCGAGGTACATCAGTATAAAAACAGGTAAGCATGCTTATCACACTGCTTTCAGAAGGGACAGAAAGAAGGAAATTGCAGTATTTCGATCACCGATTTCAATTCTTAACCATATCTGATAAAGTCTTAAATCGCTGAGACGTATGATCCCAAAGGTCACGATGAACCATTATATGATAACCCAAAACAACTACATCGCTGATGAGTTCGGCCCCAAACGAGAGAAACGGCGGCCCAATGTTCAGTTCACTTAGATATGGCTAGTGAGCACTACTTATTGATGTGAATAGTGTGCAACGACTCACGTCAATTAATCAATACTATATAGCGTCAAACACACATTTGCCTAAATTACTCAGGATTAATAACCGCGAACCCCATGATTTCAAGACACACTCCTCTAAAAACTTCTCACTTAACTTTTCGTTTGGTCACAAGCTTACATCAGATTCTAATGTAACCATCCGTAACTTCTTCAAATCTCAATTCTCTTTTAGCTAAGTTGACTACGAGAGAAAATGGAAGGTTAAACTTTTAAACACTTGTAGTCTTAATGGCGATTACTACCCACCGCACTATATCAAAAGTCACCATTGCTCATGAAAGCACTACTCAATAAAATCAGCTACTGCAGTTGGAAACCTCATTTCAGAGATAAACTGTAATTAGAAGAATTAATAAATGTATCAATTGCACGTTTTTCAATATAGAACTTACTGTAATTCTAGTAATTTAGGGATAGTACAACCATAAAGTGATGCTAATTGATCAACTGCATAATATAAAGGCACATCAGGCAGTTCTTCATACGCCATAGTCGCCATACCAACAATACGTTTAATTGTACCGTAGTGTTTATTTGTTACTAAGTTACACTGATCCGACAACTGAGTTTCTGATTCATTCGGTAATTTTGGAGACTCTTCATCTGAACGGTAAAATACATGAAACTAAAGGTAGTGATATAAGATAGAATAGTTTTTCCGGGCTAATAATATTATTCAGGGTCAAAAAGTACCCGCTATATAACAAAATATATCAAAAGAATGACAACATATTCCACACCACCGCTCGACTCGAAATTTCACTCCTGTATATAGAGGTTTAAGGGTGGTTAGATCTACTCAAAGTTACTTTCTACCACTGAGATTAAATAATCCCTCATTCAGCTGCCTTTTTCTTGTTTTTTTTTTGTAGAAGTCCACAAGCTTTTTTCCTACAGGGTATTAATTACCAAAGGTTTATACTAAGGTCTGAAATAATTCTCGACGTAATTACCTACCTGTTAGTCTTATCTCTCGAACTTCTGTTTTTCTTTCAACGCATTTAAAGTCATTTTATATAGTGCTGGTAATCCACATCAAACGTGAATCCTATATGAAGTGATTAGGTTACAAGAAGCGAAACAGCTGACTGTAGGTTTTTAATGGTAGTATAAGCCTATCTGTTTTCACACCTTTGTGCCTGTGTGATAGAAATAAACTCCAATAATCAGACTATTCATGTGTATAAAATGCAGTTGGTAAGGACCCACGCCTATTATGGCTGTTTAAACCTCAGTAGGTGGGGTGAGGTTCGAACCCACGGTCCACTGGCTGGAAGTCAAGCGTTTAGACCAATAAGTTACTTCTTCCACTTCTCTGATTATAGCTGTTTATAAGTATTGTTTGTGTTTCACTCATTTCTTAGTGTACTCTTCTCTCTGCTGTTCGATTACATGAACATAACGTACAATTATCAGAGTGGTATTAGTATAACTAATATATATCCATAATAATCACATGAAGACAAAAATTAGTATTTGAACAAAAAAAGAACGAACATATTTGCAGGATAAAGAGAACTCTTTTTTCTACTTCATGGCCTTTCTTCAGTCGTGAATAGCCTAAAAATGACGTCAGTTATTACAGTTTTAAATTTATAACAAACTTCGAAATTACTTCAACCCAAAGGGAGAGAACAAAGGCTTATGAAGAAACAAGATAGTTAATATTCTAACAACCACAGTTTTCTTTATACATAATATGACAGAAAATTCGAGAAGAAAGATTGAGGGTGAAAAGAAAAGGTCACTGTTTTAAGGATAGCAAATATTATGTTTTTCAAATTATAAGAACCTGAAGAGAATTCATTGAAAAGAATCCTCTTCGTTCAGATTGACTTTTAATTTATAGTATGGGGATATTTCACACTATTAAAAGTAAAACTATTAAGTAAATAGACAATTAAGTAAAAATGTAAAATTAATAAGTTCACCTAAGCGAGTGATAATAAAAAAAATCACTTCGATATCCCTTGTTCCACTACTATGCCCTATGAGTTGACATAATTTTGAAGTATTCTGTAGATGTATGTTATGTAGACAGATAATAACTTATGTCATTTTCAGGCTGTTAGCAACTGAAGAAAAGCTGTGAAATAAGGAATGAGTTCTTTTTATCCCCGACCGAAAGCTGCTACCTTGACGTGGTGGTCGGGCTTGAACACCGCAATGACCTAATCAAGCTATACTGGCTGAGACTTATGTCTCTTGAGGTTCTACCATGCCAGGCAGGTTGTTTGGATAGCAGTTAAACAAAAAGCAGCTACCCAATCCAACATCATGTCCAATACAAAATTACAAAATTTCATGCCGGATCGGCCGTGGCCCGGATTAACAACGACCGCGCTTCCTGCTGCCGTGTCACAGGGCGGGAGTGATAAATCTGCTACTGAGACACACCAAACAAAAAAGAACAAACAAAAACAGGCCGCGTGTGACCGGCCTCAAGCAGTTGTCCCCTGGGCTCTGCGGTTACGCAACCAACTTCCACGGTGTGGGCAGAGTCTTCTGAACACCTTGAGCAGCAATCTTTGTATGTTTGGCATGCGATTCGCCCCTGCAAAATGTAAGATGCTGCTACAGGACTGGACGACGTCAACCCCTAACTTAGTGATAGGGAGTGAAGTGATAGAACATGTTGACCACTTCACCTATTTGGGAAGTTGTATTAGCACCAACGGACTGATTGGCGATGAAATCTCAGCACGGATCCGAAAAGCTCGAGCTGCTTTCGCTGACTTACACCATCTCTGGCGTAGGCGTGACATCCGGTTATCAACCAAGGGACGTGTGTACTGCTCATCAGTTCGCTCCGTCCTTCTCTATGGCTCTGAAACATGGCCAATACGAGTTGAAGACATGAAAAGGTTGACTGCTTTCGATCATAGATGTCTGCGATCTCTGTCTCACGTTAGGTGGTTTCACAAGATAAGTAATGTTGACGTTAGACGTAGAGTGTTGGGCAAAGAGGGAAAATCAATCGACGAGGTTATAAAGTTACATAGACTAAGATGGCTAGGTCACGTGGTGCGCATGCCTAACCACCGCCTCCCCCGACGGGCATTGTTAGCTGATATAGGTTCAGGTTGGAAAAGAGCCAGTGGTGGCCAAACAAAAACATGGCATCAATCCATGAAATCCTTGACAGTTAAACTGAGTCAGGTAGGGAGATGCAGACTTCCGGGTTGGGGCCCTCGGGACTCTAGGAATCAATGGCTGGAGACAATAGGTGACATGGCTCAAAATCGTTGTCAATGGCGCAGATGTATTCAATCTCTGTAATCTTTCATATTCCTTTCTACCATTACCCATTCTGTTTCACTCTTATACTTGTCAAACTCTATTGATTCTCTTCACTCATCTTCTTGTCTACCTTTGTGTGTGGTATTTGGAACGTGGCAACTCGAACTGCTGCACTTCGGTGCCAAGTTCTATGTTGAATCCAGACAGACAGACAGGTGTGGGCAGCCGGGAAGTAACAATCGCCCTCACAATCCGAAATGCACACGAAACCTCTCTATTACTCACTCATCTTTGTCTTCATCTTCATCTCTATCATCTTGCCTTCCTTCCACTGATGCAACTCCTCGACTTGATAGCTCTCCACTTCCTCTCCACTCTGCGTCCACTAAAAACGATGGAAGCCAAAAAACCACCACCGACAGCCTCTTAAAGCCGCGCCACCAATTTCATATAGGAGCTCTTAATGTTAGGACACTTTGCCAAATAGGACAACAAGCATCACTAGCCAAGACCCTGGCATCACGAGCCATTGATGTATGCTGTGTTTCAGAAACACGCATACAAGACCCAAGTGTGGTTATTCACCTAACCCCACCTGGCCAACAGGTTGAATCTGCAAAATTCACCTTGAGGGTGTCAGGAGATGCCACAGCTAGTTCACGAGGATTAGCTGGCGTAGGGATAGCTTTGAGTACTAGGGCAGAAAAGACATTGCTTGACTGGATCCCGGTAGATAGCCGAATGTGTGCTGTCCGCCTGAACGGATCAGTAAGAAGGAGGAAGGACTGCACTACTCGCCGATGCCTTTTCGTAATCTCCGCCTACGCCCCCACTGACTGCAGTTCAGATGAAACGAAGGATGAGTTCTACCAAAAGCTGTCTAGTTTGGTGGAAAGGCTAAACGCTCAGACATAGTCGTTCTAGCTGGTGACTTTAACGCTCAAGTAGGGAAATTGTGTCAATCTGAGAAGGATGTCGGTGGCACCTATGGAGTTCCGTGCCAGCGAACCGACAACGGTGACCGTCTCCTACAGTTCTGCTCTGATAATCATTTGTTTCTTGTAAGCACTAACTTCAAACACAAGGAGAGACACTGTTTGACTTGGAGACCCCCTTCATCAAACCAACGCTGGACACAAATAGACCACATAGCAATAAGCTATCGTTGGCGTGGGTCGGTAGGAGATTGTCGCTCCTTCTGGAACACGTGCGTAGATACCGACCATGCACTGGTCCGCGCTCGGGTGTGCTTACGACTGAACGGACGTAGGAAACAGCTGGCGGTAAAACCATCACGTCCCCAGCTCGATCAGGAAACTAAATCCGTATTTGAGGAAGAACTAGCTAAACACATATCTGTGTTCGACAGCTGTGCTCACCCTGAAGAAGCTTGGAAAAATATCCAGGCAGCCATAGATACAGCTGTAAAAGCTGTGAATAAGGTAAACCCAAAGGTGAGTAAAAACCACTGGATCTCCACCGCCTCATCCGAACTGATAGATGCTAGAAGACTTATTCCGGCGAGCTCCGAATTCAATGAGGAGCGAAAGCTGCACAAGAGGAAACTTACGAAAAGTCTCCGCAAGGACCGTGAACAGTGGTGGGCGACAAAAGCCAAAGAGATGGAGAAAGCTTCGAGGATAGGCAACACCAGGCAACTCTTTGGACTCATCAGGGAAACGGGTGGGAGAAGACAAATCATTAGTGAGACAATCTCGGAAAAAAATGGCACTATAATTAGCTCCCAGGATAGACGACTGGATCGTTGGAAAGAGCATTATGAGGAGCAGTTTAATTTGCCCACAGCCACGCTCAACCTTCCGAGCATCCAACACCTCCCTGAATGGGATATAGACACAGGTCCTCCGTCACTAACTGAGGTTACTAAAGCTGTCACCAATCTGAAACTAGGCAAAGCAGCGGGACCTGATGGAATGACTCCAGAGGTATTTAAGTACGGTGGAGACAGCTTACTGTCTGCATTAACTGAGGTACTAGGCAGCGTCTGGGAATCAGAAGAAGTCCCATCGGGTTGGTGTAAGTCACTGATTATCCCCATATACAAGAAGGGAGACAAGTCTTCCTGTGATAATCACAGAGGGATTAGCTTGACTAATATAGTATCTAAAGTCTTAGGCTCAATAATCATGCGTAGACTGAGTGGTGCTCGGGAAGCACAAACACGAGAGAGCCAGGCAGGCTTTAGACCAGGAAGAGGGTGTATTGATCATATCTTCACCCTCCGACAGATTCTAGAACATAGGCATTCCTACCGGCGTCCAACAGTCATTATATTTCTTGACCTAAAGGCAGCATTCGACTCTGTCGATCGAGAAGTTCTCTGGAGATGCTTGGCTGTAAAGGGAATTCCGAAAAAATATATTGCACTGATTAAGGCACTCTACTCGTACTCATACAGCCAGGTGAGGGCTTACGGCGAGCTGTCATCTGAACTGATGACGACCAGTGGTGTCCGTCAAGGATGCCCATTATCTCCTTTTCTATTCAACTTCATCATAGATGTGTTAATGGACTTAACCCTAGGTGACTTCAGCGACTCAGGGATTGACTTGCTACCGGGAATAATCTCGTTGACTTGGAATATGCAGACGATATAGTCCTTCTAGGCGAAGACGCTGAAAAAATGCAGAGTCTTCTAAACACCTTGAGCTGCAATCTACGAATGTTTGGCATGCGATTCGCTCCCGCCAAATGCAAGATGATGTTACAGGACTGGACTACATCGACGCCTAGTTTAAAAATAGGAAGTGAAGTGGTAGAGCACGTTGACCGCTTCACTTATTTGGGAAGTACCATCAGCCCCAACGGGCTGATCTCTGACGAAATCTCAGCACGAATACAGGGGGCTCGTTTCGCATTTGCCAGTTTACGCCGACTCTGGCGTAGACGAGATGTTCGACTATCGACCAAAGGGCGGGTGTACTGCTCATCAGTCCGCTCCGTCCTCCTTTATGGTTGTGAGACCTGGCCACTGAGAGTGGAAGACATGAAAAGACTAGCTGTCTTTGATCATAGGTGCCTGCGTTCTATTTCCCGTGTGAAGTGGCATAATAAGGTGAGCAATATTGAGATTAGGCGTCGAGTTCTAGGTAAACAGGGGAAATCAATCGACGAAGTTGTGAAGTTACATAGACTGAGATGGTTAGGACATGTGTTACGTATGCCTAGTCATCGCCTTCCTCGATGGGCAATGTTAGCTGACATAGGGTCAGGTTGGAAAAAATCTAGCGGCGGTCAAACCAAAACATGACATCAGTCAATGAAATCCACAACAGTTAGTTTAAGCCACGTAGGTAGGTGTAGACTGCGCTGTTTGGAGTCCTTGAGACGGCAAAAACCAATGGCTGGAAACAATTGGTGATATGGTTCAAAATCGTTTTCGATGGCTCAGATGCATCCAGTCCCTGTGACTTATGATTTCCAATGAAACTATATTGTTCTTCGTTATTACTATTTCTTTGTCTCACACCTCTGCTAACTGTCTCTACTATGCTTTTCTTGTACTTTCTTCTCTTGCTATGTGTGCTCTATGGAGTGTGGCGACTTGAACTGCCGCACATTGGTGCAAAGTTCTATGTCGAGAACAGACAGACAGGCAGACAAAAAGGTTTGTTTTTACTTTGTTCAACCTAATCAAGGGAATCAGGTGTATGAGAAATTATTGTGCCTAAAAAGAGATGACTTAGAATAAAACAATAAATGTGCCAATAAGGAATTTGGAATCATCTACTGATAAGAATGTAGGCGAACGTTACTATTGCAACTAGACATTCATTTGGCAGAATACCTTGGCTAACAGTACATAGTAGTTTTCCACAAGTGGAAATGCAAGAAACAGTAACCACTTGAGATCCTATGTTTCACTTGGAAAACGGAAGTATGAAAAGAAAAATATAACAATAAAGTGCCCTCGAAATGACACCCAGTATGTAAAACTGTAACAAGCTGTTAGACCTTCACACATCATCGAAGCATCCTTAATAGAAGCCAACGTGTGGACAGAAACCGAGCTATTCGATCCAATATAAATCGATCAATAAGCAACGCAAAATAACTTAAACAAATAGAAACTGTATCGATGTGTGATACATCAAATAAACAAACTAACATGTAATTATAGTTTACTACAATGTAGACATACCTTTATCCGCTATATTTTGCGAAGAGTGATTTTCACTACCGCCGGATCCAGGAGGATAGCCCAAATCAGATAGGAAATCGTATAAGAATGAACGACTATGTAAGGGTCCAATCCACATAGGACCAAATACATTAAATTTTGAACCACAGTACGTGCATTGAGGACCTACAGGTGGACCACGAGCAGGAGCAACCACTCTGTTATTATTAAGTGCCTCACCCAAAGGTTGTATATAGTACGCCTAAAATTAAAGAACCCAAAATACTAAATTTAGGAATCTTTGTAGAATTATCCGACTTAATAAATGAGTTATTTCAAATAAAATAATTACAGTTAACCACTGAGTATCCTTTAGAATATAAGACAACGTTACAGACATTCAATTTTCCATCAAGTGCTTACGCACGCAGAGCTATATCATTTATAAAATTTGAAACAGTTAGTACTTATCATCAACCTTAATACAATAGGTGTAGCCCATGCTCAACTGCTTACACATAAACGGGGAAGTTGAGTAACGCTTTATTTTACCCACTTCTAATGAATTCAATCTATCAACTTTGTGTCCATATCCAATGTCTACATACTCTTTGAAGACTAATAATAGGTAGTATTTTGATCGTAGGGACTGGTAGGAGATGCACATTTCAAACATGTCAATACATAAATCCAACACATTAATTTACCATAGAACCGTCGTTCTTTAGGCTTATACGTGATTGGTTATTGTTTATTGTTTCACAAAATCAATTTGCAGCCAGTAAATCAGATTTGAACTCAAATTCACCAATTGAAATTTAGGCCGCCAAAATATTACACTGACAACTCAAAGTATGTATCATTTACCGACTTCATGTACTGGGAAATGTTCTCATAAAATTGAAGGGTGTTCACCTAGGGAATTGGGAGATTCCTGATTTCTAACGTATGCAGTACATAATCTCCAAGATTCGCATGGGATATGAATCCATTAGAATGCAGCTCATGAAGTCACTCTTCTGCCTTGTGGGACAGAATTTAAGTCAAAGGAAAAGGAGGCAGTCCCTTAAGACAATCATCGGCTTTGGTTTGGGAGTCCGGAAATTATCTAGTGCCTACATAATGTAAGAAACAGCATTTCAATGGAAAGCAGAACTTAACTGTACTCTCCCACAACTTACTGCACCTGATACCTAATAGGCCATATATTTACACACTCTAATTATTATCACTTTTAGTGTTACTGTTATTTTCATACATGAGATACATTCATTTAGTTCTGTCACCACATCTGGTGAAAAGCATATTCTTAAAAGCCATGAAGTGTCAGATTACTATCGGTACAATGAGTGATAACTGAAGCTGAGATGGAAATTCCGTTGGCAGAAAGACCCGACCGCCAGACTACTATCCCGCGGCTCCATCAGCAGAGCGTGAAACCGAACAGCTAACCACACCATAACTTCATTTTAATCATCATGTGAATGTGTGGTGCGTAATTACTACACTAATCTCTTATCTACTGTCAAGTATAATCATAATTATAAGAATTCTAATCATGATGAAGCGGAAGATATGTAGGAAGTTGATCGATAATCAAACTGTGATAAGCTTAGTATTGGCAGAGGACTATTGATTGAATACATGGCAGCTGGGTTCCACCATTAAAGACTACAGCGAAATGACTACCTAGTTAGCAGTAGCTAGGTTTGGGCTGCACTGCTAACAAAATGCTGAGTTGGTTATCCGTAATTTAATTAGGTGCTATTTATTTATTTGTTTGAAATATCACTTTAAACACATCATTTTGGATCACCACATAGCTACTACCAGAAGACTCAGCTTCTGTACGATATCCAGCACCACTATTCTGGAACTAAATGTCACCGACAACTTTCGCATTTTGATCCAAGCTGGACAAGAGGTAGGTTTGACCAAAACTTTGGAAAGCCTGGCTATTGATGTATACTGTATCTCAGTGACTCACATACAAGAATCCAGTGAAAAACTTCGAATAACTTCTCTGTGTCGGCTCGAATAATTACATTTCAAGTTATCTATGTCCAAAAAGCCTATGACATACGCACTCAGATTAGTTGGTATATGGCGCACAAATCGGCCGGAGTCAAGACTACATTACTTGATAGGATTCCCCATTGACAACTGTTCTTTCGCTGTTATGCCAGGTTGTATTAGAGTGAGAAGCAAATTTCCAAATAATAGTCCCAAAATACCCCATGAAACTATTTTGTTGCAGTATCCTGAAATTTTCATTCACCTTGTCCTCTGTAGAAAGTACGTTAACTTAAACTAATGTATATTTGTGCAAAGTTCTATGCTACTTCATCAGTTAGCCAAGCATTCAGCGCCTGCATTAGAACGTTAAACCTACGACTAATGAATATCAACCTGTTTTACAGTGTAAAGTTACTAAAGTTTACAAATTTCTTATTACCTTTTAATTTTAATAATTATTAACATTGGTTGTACTTACCAGACAACCAAGACAAGTATAACAGATGCCATGCTTAGCTGCAATCGCTTTGACAGATATTGGACTAGACCAGACACGAACGAAAATTCTAGCATAGAAATCCACCGACAAAGATAACAGTGGTTCAATGATTTTACCATATCGACTGGCAGCTGACTGTATGCCATTCAGAAGTATTCGTAATCCCTTAAATGAAATAACAAGAACAGAATTTTAATATAGGAATATAACTGTTATACGATTTTATTATTACTGTTTCCTTTAGTTCCTAGAGTAACATAGGGCTTCAGCCACATTTCTGCAATGAGTTCGGTTCTCTGCCAACTTTTCTACCTGGCTCCACGTCTGCCCACATCCTTTCATCTCTTCTTCGCTTGACTTTCTCCATGTCACCCTCAGACCATCAACTCCCCGCTTCCCATTCCGGTTCCAATCGAGCGGTGGCCTGGCGTGTTATGTCACTTGATGGTTTTCTCAAAGTATGGACAATCTACTTCCATTTCTTCCTGCACATTTGTTGCACAATCGGTTCCTGGTTGGTTCGCTCATCGCCAGAGATCCCTGTTGCTGATCTTTTCCGGCTGGCCATGTGATCTTGAGTATTTAGCGAAGACATACTTTGCTAAAGGTCTGTAGTTTTTTTCGAAGTGCCCTTCGTGACGCAGCGCCAAGTCTCTGATCCGTATAGTAGCACTGACTTCACATTGGAGTTGAAAATCCGGATCTTACTTTTCATGCCAAGTGATGTCGACCTTCACACAGACTTGAGAGAAATGAAAGCTTGACTTGCTTTCCCGATACTCGCTTTTATATCCCCGTCAGTTCCGCCTGTAGTTGAAACGATGCTTCCCAGGTAGGTAGGTAAAGGAGGTTGTTTCTTGCAGATTTCTCCCATTTACGCTGATTGTTGTCTGTTGTTGTTGTTGCTGCTGTTGGCCAGGAATCTTCATCACCTCTGTTTTCTATATGTTCACCTGAAGTCCTATATTTGATGCCTCTTCTTCCGACTTGTTACTTTTCACTTGTATATCTTCCAGTTTGTGGGAAATCAGACAAATATCATCGGCGAAGTACAGATCCCCCAATTTTTTGTGTGGATCCATATTATGCCTGTTTCCTCATTTCCCGGCCGGCTGTCTGTCGCATTATCCAATCTACCGCAATCAGGAAAATCACTGGAGATAGTAGTGGACAGCTTTATATTACTCCCGTTTTCACTTCGAAGGATTCCGTGAGTTACGATTTTACTACTGAAAAGAAAACACTCGATAATTAAGTAGAAGAGTCTACAAATAGTCATCAATCCTAGGAACATATTCATGACGCCAAATTACAAACTTGTTACAGCTGATCCTAGGAAGCTGTTGAAAATGAAGTTTTGTGAGAAATACTATATTGAGAGAGCTAGACACTTAGGGCAGTGAGATGCATGCTAACAATCATATCATGCGAATGTGTAAAACCCGAAATGTCAGATTAATGGCCAACCATGTCATCTTAATTAAAGGTCCATATTTAAATCCATGTAATTTTTTTAAATAACTTTATATATATATATATATATATATATATATATATATATATATATATATATAGCGTGTGCCTTTATTTGCTAAAGGCTGGTTACAACAGATTCATAATCCACGCTGTCTTCAGAGGAATAAGATTTTCACTATCTCTCTGAAACAGTAAATGAATTAATATCCAACTGAAGGATTACCCAAAATATAGCTTTTGCTATTAAACGGAAGTTAGAAGCTTACAAACAACTCTGGGATGACAGCATTGCTATCCCCAGAGGATTTCGTTGAAATGCTCGCAGACACTTGTGAAAGACTTCTTTTCTATAATGCATATTTTTCATAAGCCGTTAAGTGTTTGCAATGTTTTACGGCATCTTGTACTACTAACCTATTGCGACTTTAACATAGTAACTTTGGAAATTGAGTTCAATGAAACAGTATAAACTGCTGAAAAGCATTTGCTGTACGAGAAATTTTACTTTTAAACACATATCTCATTTCAATTACCTAACAATTTATACTCCTAAATTGTGATCGTTTCATTAAGAAAACTTTCTGCTTAGTAAGTACAGACCAGGGGACAGATATTTACACAAAACTGCCAAACTTAAGTTTACTAAAATTCAATTGCAATCAGAGATATGGATCATTTGATTAAGCGTTCGGCTTTCGGTCAAATGGAAGTGGATTCGAGCCCCGCTTCGACAACTTTAGTCTGGGCAACTGGATAATATCAGCCCTAACATAATACATGTGGCTCATAGACTGTTACATAAAAAATCTATTCCAAGTAACTGAATTGCAACTAACTAATTAGAGAACTAGGAAAACTCACAACTTCATGTGTAGATGATGTTTTAATAGCCATCCCACCGTATTTGCCCATCGCAGTTCCAGGAGTACTGCCACATAATACAGCCATATCGGTTGAAGTTACACAAAGTAGTCCACCATTATGCAAACACTGGACAGCGGAGTCTAAAAATGGGCTTGCTGTTCCAAATGGATCGATGTCGACTACGTTAAACCTAAAACGTTACAGGAATCCCAAAGAAAATTATAAGATTTGTTGGCGTAGAGGACATAGTATTTCTGAAAAGTCACACACTTATCACAAAAAACAACATACGAAAACGTTTAGTAGCTGGTGCACATTGACAAATATCTTCTGGAATCAGGCAAGTATATTGCCTAAACCCTTCATTCGAGCTCTGGGGCGAGGCTTTATCACTGATACGAGACGCAGCGTTGACAGCCAACGTAGCCATTGCTTGTGGTACTTTGTTATCACTGAAAGACAATGTCTACAGGTGTTCTTGTTACTCCACTTATCCAATCAAATAACCAAGCACAATTTCCATCAGAGGGAACTTCCATATGAGAGGTACCACCTATGAGGGAAGCCTAAACGTGAGTCAGTGCAATAGCCATAAGTTACAGGCTAATGAAAGCAACCGGAAGTTAGTTCACCTACAACACTATGTTCATATATGAGTTATAACGGTCAGACAATCAACAAATTTATATTTATAGCTAAAAAAAATTGGGCAACAGCAGTCAAGAAATATATTCTTTACCTAGATTGAATCTTAAATGTCTCGTTTGGCAGATGTGACAGTAGCGTTTAGTTGGTTCATACTGTATTCCAATTTTAATTACACACACGTGTGCTTAATATCACGAATTAAAAATCCCTAGTATGACTGAAGGTTTTCAAATTAAAACTTTACTTAGGGAGTGAAGCAAATCAAGTTGCTACATCATATAGAACACAAAGGTGAAGAAAAAATTCAAAGGAACTATAACGGGAATGTATGGGGAAAGAATGATCCCACAAAGAAGAATGAAAATTTAATGGAACTACGAGGTTACGAAGAGCAAATACATCTGCGTCACTCACAACAATTTGAGCTGTATCATCAATAGTCTCAAGTCACTGGTGATTACCGTTTCGAGTACTTCAGTCAGATAGTCTACACCTACGTAGCTAGAACTTAGTCAAAGATGTCATGTATCGACGCTAGATATTCATTTGACCACCAGCACGTTTTTATTTATCTAACCTTATGTCAGCTAACAGTTGTCAGCGAATAAGGCTACGATTTGGCATGAGTAACATGTCCAACCCAGGATACGCGTAGTTTCTTATAAACATAGTTGCCAAGCAGATTCAACACTAGAAATACGGTGTTTGTTTAGTGATTTAGAAAAGATCTAATGAGTTCGTGGAGCTCATAAAGACAACTGCTACGCACTATTCCCAGAAAGATGAAATATTATCTAACTATATATTTATTAAACAGAAGTGAACTTACCTTTCAGAATACTTTCGATGTTGATACATCAAGTCATTAGCATCGCTACAGACAGCACTAACGATTTTACTCACTTTGTTATGTTCGATGTTTTTTTTAATCAACATAACAGATTCTGGGTCTACATCGTTGGCCACCACACATGAAACATTTGGGACTTCGAGAGCGAATCTAACGGACCTTATTCCAGAAGCAGATAGTGCTTCAAGTATTTTCAAACTGCATGACTTATCACAGTTTTCTTAAGCGCATGCTGTTAATAGTTTAAAACCGAAAAACATACCATCCACTTGCTTCTTCAACAAGGATTCTTTCCTATGCATTTTGCCGAATTGACTTAGCATAGCAACAGTAATGTCCCTATTGAATTCCTGAACAGGATTGTAAAACACACTGTCCGGAAGTGCGATCTCCGCAAGACCTTCTCTCACTAACATTGCAACGCTCGACAACCTGCGAACAGACTGAATCGCTTTAACTGTCAAGGTCATTTTTAGAGAAAATTACAAGGTGAGATATCTGCTCAATATTAATTGGCTGTGGAGACCAACTTCAACTTTCCTTATCAGAAATAATAAGCCAACAATCTAATTGAGGAGAAGTTACAGAATCATAGCTAAAGTCAATGGCCTTCAAAGTTCTACAATAGGGTCCCAAGGGATGCGAACGCACGAGTGACCTACAGCTGACCAATCATAAAAATGAGGAATTTTTGAACAAAAAATGATGTATATTCACAAGAAAATGCATGAAAACATATTAAAAAATTATATTTCCCTGACGTGATTTAAAAAAATACGTCCCAGTTATGATGAAGATTATCAGTTGCTAAGTTGGACTAGTTTCCGTAGATGTATTCACCAAAGTGACTGAAGATGTGCTGTTTTGTGACTCGTTCATCTCTCTTCTCTTACTGTGCAGTCCTCTCCAAAGCCGTAAGTTAAACTACTGTGGTTTCAGTAAGAGGATCGACGACTACATACAAGGGAAATGAGGATAAATCAAATTAAAACAAACAACATTAACTACAAATCTATCCCTGATCGCAGCCCCAATTTTAATCCTGACCCTAACCCTAAACTTAACACTAACCCTAACCCTAATCCTAACCCTAATGACAATCCTTATCCCGCCGTAAACCTAAACCTAATCCCAATTATGATCGCAACTCCAACCCTAACCCCAATACTTAACTTAACCCTTATCCTAACCTTAACGAGATATTAACCCATTGTCCAAACAGTAATTAAACGTGTTATCTGGGTGAAACTTGCTCCTTATTTGATGAATAGCGTCGATTTTTTAGCTATGATAATAATAAGTGCCGTTAGCCAACGACTAGCATGCGTTCAAGGTCATTGAAGCGTTCGCACTCCTGGGACGCTGATGTTGAAATTCGCCCTATTTGAGAAGTTACAGGATCATAGTTAAGGTCAATGCCCTTCAGACTTGACCTTCAAAAGATAATTAGATACGAGGAGTGCTATCAAGTAGCACACAAAGTCATATTTGCCTTTTGAACTTGGAAAGGATACACACAGTGTTCTATTTATTGAAAAGGGACTTTTTTACAAACCTGTACTGTTAGGAAGGACTTTGGCTTTTTAGATTACGGGTTAGGATATAGAGTTATGGTGAAATTTATGATTAAAACTAGGGCTAGGAGTTAGCACTGGAATTAGGGTTAGGAGTAGGTTGAAAAATAGGTGTCAAGAGCATCAATGGATTTCGAAGTGCCCTGACCCACAGTCACCTGGGTGAATGTATATATTGTGCATGGTTCGATTTCTCTATAGATCGTCTGTTTGTTGACTGAGAAACATTCTCAAAACATATAAGCTTAGACTATACGGTGCAATATCATGTTCAAAATATATTTCAACGATTATGCGATTTTTTTGCATCCGAATCTTGATTGGCTGTTCAAGGCCAATGATGTTTTAGCTATGACGGTTTGGCTTTGCCCTATTCGATTGACAGGTATGTCGGTGAGTAAAATATTTCTGAAGAGAAAAGGTGGTTATTTTTGTGCTATTAAACTTCAAAACACCAAAAGGACATTCTGCTGTAGTAATCATTGTCTTTTTGCACAATAATAACGGGATTTCAGTAGAAGTGAGAGTACCTTTGGCAGCGCTCGGATTTACATATATGTTCGGACGCCGTTTGAAGGTGCCTTTCTAAGGTGTCACGGGAACTTCCACGTATTGGATTTCACGTCCTACAAATTCTGGTTGCTAAAGAATTCACACCAACCTAAGCTGCTGCTTTTTTAAATACATCACCATATAGAGATAAATCTTTTGATGTACCTTTCAATCAAAATTACTGATTCTCTATCAGGATGTAAAGGACGAAGTGATATATTATGCGTCATTACTACACATTCGAATCCTGTCATAAGACATACGATTGGGCATTAGAGCCTTCCACCGTTCTTGCTGCAGCTTCTGTGTTCCCCCAGCATTATGGAGTTTCTTCTGAGATGCCAGAGCATAGCCACTATGTCACGCGTGTAGCCACTTCAGTATACATTACAAATCTGGAATAGAGCCTGGTAGTCAAAAAAAATAATAATAGGTTTCTGTCACAGTACTTTGATAGAAAGAGGGACTCTAACCATTTATTACAATACTGCGCTTAACTTTCCCCTCACACCACATAATAAGAGTAGATACAATTAAATAACTGTGTAACTTCTAAGGTAATGGCAATAGCAATAACCTTTAACTGTGAAAATGAACTGAAAGTTAAAAGAGACACTGACGACAATATATTAAAGATAGGAGGGATACAAAAGGGCCACTTATTGGCTCTGCAGTAAGTTGATGCTTCAACACTTAACAACTTTCTTATCATGTAAGATGTGTGCCAAACATGAAACCATAAAGTTCCTGCATGTAACCGTCCAAGAGAATGAGGATTAGGGGCTGAGAGTAATAAGTAAGCAGCAACTGTATCGCATTTGTGATTCACGAGGCTCTCTCCATCTGTCGAACAATATTGAATGATGAATGCGATTCCATGTGTTTGGCCAGGCTTCTGTGCTTCTCTTGCCTACTACTGTGCTTTCAAGAATAATTTTTCAAACTTAAGATTGAATTCTGCATCAGTGCTGACTATCAATCAACAGTCTAGGCATTTTTTGGCAAAGAGAACAGTTACTAAGTTGGTGAACCTGATGGTCTAACAGCATGCCTTTGGTTGCGTTGTAATCAACTATAATCCATAATTTTTTTCTTGGTTTTTTTCTCGGATCGTTTTTTCGTACGCCCCATTGTTTTGGTTCCTATTCCCTATAACATCTCACTAACCACCCATAGAATTTGACTTCAAAATCCCTCTTTGATGAGTTATATTTATTTAGTAACCACCAAAATCAGAATACTCTAACCTCATCGATACATCTGGGAGTATGGCTTTCTCGAATAGAACACTGTTTAGACCCTCAAAGGATTTAATCTGAGACAAACGGGTATAAAGATGTGTGTTCTCACACATCCTACGAGACCAGCCAGGAGGTGAGGAAAGTCACACTCCACCCACACCCAAGCACACATGCATTTTGTAGATGCGAAGAGACCGAATGCCCCTTTTGTTTGAAAACCGGAGAACACAACGCTTCTTCCAAGGGAGGACTTGGGAGATAGATACCCAACACCATCCCTGCACCACCAGCAACAGCTGGCGGGCGACATCAGTGGAAGAGTTTGCAGTAAAGCGTGTCTGCATGCGAGTTCTCTTTGGATGTGCTCAACAGACACTGGGTGTTCAAGATCCTAGCTTCTAACGCGAACAGTGGTCACAAACTGAGTGTTAAATCTCAGAAGGTCGGGTGTGCAATAACAGTAAGGATGGACATCCAAAAATCGCAGAACTCCTGATCAACGTTAGACCACTGGTGGAAGCACCATTACAGATATGGCTTACAGACAGCAGTCGAAGCAGACAGCGACGTATGCTAAGGTGAAGGCCCATACAAATCAAATCTGATAGATAGTTCTTTTCCTATCACTAGTTGTTTGGCCTGCAACCAACGAAATTCACACGCCAATGCGCCTGGACCAAATTAACTCATAAACAATAGAGGGACGATTAACTCGGTCTCAAGCAGCACCACTGAGAAGAATCCCAAAGAGATCTGCCCATTCTAGGTTAAAGATACGAAATATTGTCCAGGCTTCTTGTCTTGATGCAAGAGCCGTAATCAGTACCACGCTGAAATCCAGGACTAAGCCAAAGAGGAAACACTGCCCCCGTTTTTCGCTAACCTAAGGAGATTAACCGCGGAAAAACCAAAAACAGCCGCCGCATTCTAAACCAGGGAATTGTCAAACCCTCGGATAGTCAGTGGGATTAATCACCGCACATGCTGCTTACAAAAATTAAATTGATTGGTGTCCTTGTGGTTACTGCAGAGTCGTAAACAGACGATCCCAGGAAGGTACTCGGCACCATGAAAACAAGTCTTTACTAATAGTCTTCGGGGGGCCTCAACGTTCACTTGAATCGACTTACTTCATTCTTATCACGATATTCCAGTGGCTGAAGAAAATAGGCCTAAAACAGTATTATCACCCAATTCTGAAACTTTGAGTTCGTGTGGATGCCATATATTATTCAAAATGCTACCTAGATTCTCTAAGCATTCAGGGACGACCTGCTGATTGCTGGTTAGGATGTAAACACACATAAAGACCACATTCATACAGTATTTTAAGGGCTCAAAGAAGTTTGTCATACTATTTAGCATCAGCCGCCCCACCTTAAATTACCAATTTCCTTATCTGTACACAGTAAAACACACGGTGAGTGAATGAATTTTCTGGGAAGATGATCACGAATGCTGCGTTGTCGTGTGATCAGGTATCTCCTTAGTGGTTTCATATAACCGTGGAAAAATATGTTCTTGGATGGCTGTTAGGGTTACATTCTCGCTTCTCCAATTGGAGCAGTGATAATAACAGCCAGCTCACCAGGCTAGCTGGCACAGACTAAACACTCAATAGGTAGTGGGACCAAACTTCAGCTAGGTGGCCACGGAGCAGTCATGAGAGTTATTTGTGGTTGAAGCCGAGTCATTCCAACAGACCAACTAATTGGATTCCTCTAACACACTCGTTAAAACTAAAGGTATTAGTAAAGATATGTTAGATAAGAGATAGAAGAGAGACCAGACAAGAAGCGAAAATTGCATGATCACATAGGGAGGGTGGTGCTAGCTGATCAGTAGATATGGTGGGGGTCACTAAGGTGAATCACCCCATTCTGCAGGAACAGCAATATGCAATTTGAAGGCTCGAGATATTTCTGATTTTTATGAGGGCTTAGATCTTTATCTTGAAAAAGATAATAATGAACGCCTAGACAGATCATGCCTCTGTCTTTAAATATATACCATTCGCTCAGCCTATTGTTGAGATGCGACCATGTGGGATCTGCACGGATTTATGGGGCATCTTATAAATTAACTTGCTATCCATTGTCAGATCTTTAAACACCAGTTCAAAATGTCTTATCTCATTTATTTTCTAATAACGTCTTTACTTGATCCTCATTTTACTCCATTAAAACTAACATTTTACAGCTCTTTATGACTTATTACATTCCTACTCTCTGAAGGGTACGGTTGTGCACTAAATGCACAAAAAGGTATAAAACAAAAACAACTGGCA